CTTTTCCATGGAAGCCTCTCATCTATTGTCTCCGGTGGTATGTTGAGATACAAACTAGCACCTAATTCATGCCAGTTCTTACTGCATATTATAGTGGCAGCCAACACTAATGGGATTAATTGGTCATGACTGGTGGAATTGTAAAAGCACATACCTCCAAGGGTCATAAACACTAATCCTTAATTGAAATCAAATGTATATTTTTTAAAAAGCATGTCCAGCATCATAGACTCCTTTCTGTTTGGGTTTTGTTGATATTAGCAATGGTACAGAAACCTGATCAAGAAGGTTTGCTTTTATTACTGCTCTCAATACAAACTTGTACTTCTTGGCACTCCAAGTAGCTGATTAGAGGAGGGGATAATATTCAACTTGATTATTGGTTACACATATGGAATAAATTCCATTTTAATGGTGTCTAATGAGCCTTTCATTTCTAGGACCTTACACAAAAGCATCTAGTAGAAAGAGAAAGTAATATTTCAAAGGTCATCTGAATGTTACTGAATGTCAACAAGCCGTAATCAAGCCAATATATATTGATGATGATTGCAGTCCAGTCTGATTCTTTAAATATGAAATAATTTTCTAAATTAGCAAAGTGATGCAAGCTAAGGTTTTTTTGGTTTGAGGGAGCATGAAAATGTCTAATTGAAGTTTGTTACTTAAAACCAGAATTGAAGAGATTTTTTTTCTTGAAGTGAGGCTTCACGCCATGAAGTATTTTCAAGGCCATGAGATTTAAAGTTCTGTCTCTGAGAGTTTCATGCACTGTTCTCCTGCATGCCTTCAATTCCATTGAAATGTGCAAATGGAAAACGTGGCTCCCTCCCAGTGCTTTCTCTCAACAGGAGACTGAAATGGGAAGTTGCAGTGGGGGTGGCTCGCTGGCCAGACAGCCATCATGAGAGCTGGTGGGCATCTAGTTTAGAACCAGACATCTAACTGGTGGCATATTTAGAAGTTGTAAGTTTAAAGAATCTGTAGTGAGAGACTGGCATTCTGGGGAGTTTTGTCTCAGTTGCTTTGCGAATGGTGACTACCCTCCATACCCTGGAGTGGTGATACCTCTTTTAAGTCATAGAGTAGCTACTGCTACACAAGTTCAGATGACAGGCTGAGGTATAAATGGTGAATTCTGCCAAACACTTTCCTCTGTCATGTGACTTGCACAAGGAGATGGAGGATGTTCATAGCGTAGATGGCACCATCTGGAGCACTGGTTCACACTTATGCAGAAGGGCCCCATCCCTAGAGGTTTGGTTCTGGGGTAGGATCAGAGAATCCATGCTTCTGGCAAGTTCCCTGAGGATACTGATGCTGGTGTAAGAGTTATAGCTCTGAGTACCATTCATTGCTCAGGGTCAACTAGTGAATAGCCTGCCCAGCCATACATACTGTCTTGGTTTCCGTTATCTTTGCATGAATAGGCATTGAGTTTATTCATTTTTGCCTCCTAGCAGCTGACAGTGGGGCATACTCATAGGGTTTGTTCAGGGAGCAGATGCCACTTGTATCAAATTAATAGCAAGGAGAAGATATTTAACATGGAATACTCAGTGAGCACCAGATCACATGTCTGCTGTCCCAATCCCAGTGTTGCCCTGTGTGTTTATATTTCTTTCTCTTTCATAAAAATTTTATTTTATTCCTTCCTCTTCCCTTTTGAACTTTTGAGCTTGATTGTGGTTTGGTTATCTCTCATCGCCCTGTATTGTATCTGTTTTTGAGTTAAGGATAAACCAGGACTTGTGATTCAGTTATGGGTTACCAGCCTTTGGATGCATGGCTTCAGAGCCAATCCAGGAAGGAGGGACCTGAGATGAAGCATTGAACCACAGCAGGGATCAAGATCAACCACTTGGCAGTGTCCATCATAGCTCTCTGGGTTTATCTTGAACTGTTAGAACCATGCTGAGAAAATATGTGACTCAAACTCAGGAAGTAGTCCTAATCACTCTAACCTCCCTATATTCAGGTGTTCTTCCACAAGACGCAACACCTTCAATAGCTATATGAAAGTCATGAAAAAATCTAAGTATTAAAAGGCATCCATTTGCACAAACTTTCCAAGAACCCACTTTTAGCTATTTGAGATTGTTTTTTTTATTATATTTTCATGTAAGTCTGCCTAAATGTTTATTTTTAAAGCATTTTTCTTTAACCGAACTTGTGAATGTAGGGGTGAAACTGCCTCCAGGAGAGGAAATTCTTGTGCTGAATTACAGGGTTAGTCCCGTAATAGATGATAGCACTTCATTATAAAATTGTTCGCTTGCAAGTCCATCCAGATGCCCTTAGTGGCACAAACAGCACCCTCTTCCCCTCAGTGAACCTTCTCCCAAGTCCGTTCAGGTGACTCTGACCCATTTGGTGTTAGGCCCTCTACCAAGCCACCTGCCAGGCCTTGAGGACCTGGGTCTATAGATTCTTGAGTGAGGTTTTTCAGCCAGACTGAGTGGTGGGTGTCTAATAGGAGCTACTGCTTCCCAGCAACTGCCTTTACTCGCACAGTTCAGGGAGGTCATACCCTGTCTTTGTTTTCCCTGAAGATACTACATTGTTTCTCTCTGTCCTCGGGCCATTCTTGTTGTAGAGGGGACATTTGATGTCAACTAAATTTTCATTATTTTACAAAATTTACATTATTCTTCTTGTTGTGCTATTCTGCCTGGATGCACATTTTGTCCCTCAGCCTTGATATGTTATGTGGTAGGGTATTCTGTTCCTCGCTGGAACTTGGAATGCCTGACCTCTTTTTTTATTATTATTATTGGTTGTGTAAATAGCAACAGTAACAATAATTTCCATTCTAATTCTAAACAGACATTTGAATGGGCATTGCATAGAAAGGATAAGGAATTGTTAGCTGCATATGCGTTATATGTGATCCCATGGGCAGTCTGAATCATCCAAGCACATAGCTGGGTTTCCCATTCTACGGTAGAAGTGGGGGAAGTTTCTTCTGTATCTGGTACTCATAGAAACCTTTTTATCCAAGCTGTCGCTGTTCTCCCACGCTCACATGGGCACCAAAAACAATGCAGCTTTCTCTGCAAGGTTTGAGGTGACTGTAGAAGTGCAAGAGATAAGTGTCCCACCCAATTCAGGTATGTACCACTGGAACAGGCTCCAGGATGACATCTGCCCTACAAAAGAGCCTTGCTAAGAAAGAGGCTACAGGCTCAAAACGTCCAAAACCACAAACTCATTTCAGACCTAAGTGTGCTGGACCAGGTAATTCCAAGCAAAATAAACTGGGCTCCAGGACTTTGCTCAGAGTCTTCGTTCAGAGCGAACCTTAAAAGTACACATTTGTTTGTCAGAGACCTTTTAGCTATTAATTAGGAGTTAAATTAGAACTCTTTGATCCCTAAACTTGAGATGTATTTGAAAATTTGCAGAAATAAGGCCCCATAAATTGCAGAGCTTCCCCACTCCCTAGCAGTGTGGCATTATATACTCTTGGCTGTGAAAAAGTCGTCAGCTTTGTCAGCATTCTTCCTTCGTTCAGCTAAATTTATTTTTTATGTGAAATAGAAATCAGGAAAACACCAAAAATTATTTTAAGCAAAATATCAAAATTGAAATAAACCAACATATGTCTGTGAGACATGTATAACTCTCAATCAAAAATAAGTGCAACTTTCATAAATGTCTTAAAATACTCCAGCATGCAGAATGTGATCAACTTAAATAGATGAAGCTGTGATATACTTGACTATTCTTTCTACTTAGTTCATCTTTCACTTAGGGATGAAATTTCCAACTCTTGAAACCTTCACAACCAGTGTCCTACACCATCTGTTGTAGTCAATGAGGAAACCAAGGCAGTTTTTGAGGTCCTTGTAGACTACATCTAAATAATGTCCCCTAATTTTGAATGGAAACAGTCCTTCTCTTATCCTCCTTACTTGTATCCAGGTCAGTTCTATTCCCCTTACATTCCTCAAAAAAATCCTCTCAGATTTCTTAATCACTCTAAGCATACCATCTTTTGTTTCCCATATCCCTTACGACTTACTAAAGAGAACTTTAATGGAATTAAATGTACTTAAATTCACATAACTTTTCTAGGGCTTTGCACCAAAGATGTCTTCATCTCAATAATCATTTACTTCTAGGGTTTCTTCAATACATTTCCTTCTGTCATTTTAAATGTTAACCTGATTGTGACCCTATAATAGTAACTGATAATTTGCCCACAAAAGATATAAAATTAATGCTACTCTCAATATGTGTTATTAACAAAATATAAACATGCATTTAAAAATCGTCAACCTTTTTATCTTTCTCTTATTCATATCTAAGTGGTGAGATTTCTATAATAATAATAATGGTTATTTTATTTGGGATGATTTAGTGCTAAGTGAGTTTTCTGTCTCCTAGTTCCCTTTAAAATGCATTTTGAAAACGTATTCTGCTTGGCATCACCCTACATGTTGACATTGGCCCCTCATTTGGAAGTTGAAAAACCTGGTCAGATATTTAAAGATGTGTCTGATTGACCTGATGTAGTGGGTACCACCTTTCTTTATCCTATATTCTTAGACCTTTCCTGTCTTTTTTTTTTCTTTCATGTGTTACTCTGATTTCTCTTACTAGTTTCTTAGCTGCTGAAAGTTTCTTCCCTCCATGTTCCTTCAATGTAGAGCAATTTGGAAGTAGAAAAGTGTGTTAATTTTTTAATAACCCTTTAAGATACACATTACTATGTTTCTATTGATTGAGCCAGATGGCTCACAGGGAATTTTCTCTGACATAAGTAATCACAGAAATCAGTTTGGAACCAAAATCTGGTATGGAACGTGGCATCTATATGCTGTGGGAAAGATGCAATTCACATAAACATATGGGTATTTTTAGAAACAGTATTTGCTACTGTTTGGATTTAATTTCATCTTACTGTTAGCTAAGTACAAACTAATGGTTGTTTTTCTTCCCTCATCTCAGGCATTTGGGGTCCTTCTCAATAACTGAACTGTGTTTTCTTTTTACAGTTTGAAGGCTGCAAGAAGGCCTTTTCAAGGCTTGAGAACCTCAAGATTCACTTGCGGAGCCACACTGGTGAGAAGCCATACCTGTGCCAGCACCCGGGCTGCCAGAAGGCTTTCAGCAACTCCAGTGACCGTGCCAAGCACCAGAGAACTCATCTTGACACTGTAAGGATGGCAGAGGCTTGCCACCTTCCAGCCTCAGCTGTGTGTGCCAGAGGGCCCCTCTGATGGCAAGATGGTGGAGGTGTTTGCTTTATGGTCTGTAGGTCCCAGGGGTAGTGCCAAGCACAGCAGAACACAGTAGAGTGCTCCTGGGGGTACCCTGTGTGGCCGCTTCATTTTTTTAATTTTAATTTTTTGTAGTTGTGAATTTATGCTACATATTAGAAGTTTCTGGGACCAAGGGGTTCTTTAGTCCCTTGTCTGTAGAAAGCAGAAGTAGTTCAAGGGCTATCATGCAGTAGATGCTGGCACACAGAATGGCCACTAGAGATAACTAAAGTGATTATGAATGTATCTGGCTGTCCCAAACTAGACAGTGTATGCAATTAGGAGGAATATGACGTACAGAGCTAGTGTTGACCCTGGTTCTTACTCTCTTGACCTAACTTTTCAGCCAGCGTGTGTTGAGTGTGAATCTGGTCTTTTGTTTTAGAAGCCATCTGTTATTCTTACCTGCAGTTGATCTAAAAAGACAGAGCAGATCCTTCCCAGAATTCACTTCATACATGCTTTTTCTGTGTTAGCAGCCACAATCCTTTTATACCAGCCTTATGAGAACAATTGAGTTTTTATTTTCACACCCTCAACTCCCTTAATGCTGCTACATTTTGCTCCTTGCAAACGCTGTTTCTATGTAACTTTTGTCTTTTATTTCCCCCATTATGTAGATAACACTTCTTTGCCTTCTCAAGCTTTGATGCCATTTTCTTTACAGGAGGCCAGGTAGATGCTGTGTAATTTCAATTCACTTGACAAAGCCGTTGGGATAAATGCATTATACACATCACGGATCTCTTATCCCACGTTCTTGCAAATAATGTATTCATGACAGTACTTTCTCAGTGTTAACATTCTGATGTCTATTATTAAACTACATCAGAGCCTGAATTTTGAAAAGATACTGTTATTTCTACACACCTTCTCATACATATTTAAGATTCTTTTGATGTTATAGTTGACATATTTATTACATTTTATATTAGTCTCTATTAGTCATATTGTAGAAGTCATTTTAGATATGTATGTCATATAACCTTTCTAAACAGAATTATCTCCTGATATGCATAGATGTGATGGTTTCTCTGGTAAATACCTGAAACATGGGCAAAGCATAAACTTTTACTGCTTTAGCCAGAGTGGATTCATTGATTTGTTCAGAGCCAATAGAATGGAATATTATATAAATATGTGGAAAGTGCTGAAATTTTTCAACATAGAAAAATAAGAATAAATTATGTTTAATGTCCTATTTTGTTGTATCTGAAATGGTCTTAGTCTGATCCAGTTTATTTTCCAGCTTGTCATTAAGCCTTATCATGGAAATGTGACCATTCATAAAACAAAATTGTCTTGAGAAATCATTCCATTAACCAGTTCTCTGTGGTTTCAAAGCTGTACTTGAGGAAACATGTTGTTTTTCAACAATACTCTTCTTTAGCGCCAATTTTAGCTAGTAACATAAAACATTTTATAAAGTAATTTCAGCAATAAAGATGTATGGTCCTTTAAAAGCTTTTAAATAAAGCTGCCTAAGATAATGATTTTATGATTGGAATTCAGTGCAGCATCTCTTAAAACTTGGTCATTTTTATCTCATTTAAAAAGATTTTCTCGTTTTTCCTTAAGATCCAAACTGTCTCCTATTCAAATGTTTACTTCCTTTAACAAATTGGTAAATAAATTAAATGCTTGCTTTCCAAAGCTAACTGTAGCTCTTTGAAGAATGTATAACTTGTATTTAGGTTCCTTTCTGTTAATCACTCCTTATACAAAAACTGTCACAATTTTTGGATAAAGGTATCTTTTTCAACTAAATAGATTCTTTACTCAGGCAAATGGTTTTCTCACAAAGATTATTGAAATTGCTATAATAACACTGAAAATTTTTGTTAATACATTTCTCTATTAACATCTTAAGCCTAAATAAAAGAAGTGATTATTCAGGACAGCTGGAAAATCATGAAATGCCTCTATTGATGGAGTATAACATGTCACATAAAGCTTGGGTAATCAGAGATAAAATGACAGGATAGCACTGTTGTCCACATCAGAGCCTGACAGTCGATTGGGCATCCTGCCCTCAAGTGTCATACACAGGGGAGGCCTCAAGGCTACTTGGGAGGAATGGTATGGATTAGGCTTTCTCCAAGAATATTTTAAATCAAATGTCAAATGGCATTCACCACCCCACTTAGGGTGGCGTAGATTCTTAGAGCACACCAGTGTTCATAAAACTGTTTCCGTGAAGTACCTACTCTCACTCAAAGCCGTGAGTGTGTGTGCTCATCCTGAAGGATGGCTATTGGCTGCTTGCTCCTCTGAGGTGAAGGCAGAGTAGGGAAGGCTAGTTCAGGAAGGCCGAATGAACTCAGAAGAGATTCCCAGGTTAAAGCAAAATCTATGTTCCCCCATGGAAACTTCTTAACAAGTGCTTTTAGCTAATAATTGCTCACTTAAAAAGAATAAATGAGATAAGGGCCTGGTTCTTCTTTACCCATAATTTATTGGTAGAGTTACTTAGAATTTAATACAGTGCCCAGCAATTCTAGAAACATAATCTTAGGTTATTCAATTAATCAATCTAAAGTAAGTCAAGATCCCACCTAGGTCATGCATTCATGTCTATCTTAGGTGCCAAACCCTTGGGGACATACCTCTCATTTCCATATACTTCCTGTTTCTCTGCTGCACAGGGAATTGGAAGGAGCAAATTCGCTCCCTTGTCCCTCCACTAAGTGCTCATTCATGTCACTCAGCCTTGACTTCTCTGTGACTAATATTACTGTTCTTCTGGCTGGGTTTTTGTGTGTCTGTTGTTTGAGACCTACTATTTCTTACTCACTTTATACTAATTTTTCTTCTTAATTCTTTTCCTCTTTCTGAATCAGGTACCCTCTGAACCATACCCAGTCTTTTCTGGACTTTTCTACGGCTTCTTTACCTGAGCCTTTAAAGAATCTGTTTACTATTTCTGACAGTACCAAAGATTTTGGCAGGCAGATAACTGTAAGTATGTAAGTATAACTTCCACATTAAGAATTCTACAAGAGATTTTATGGTTACACTGCAATGTAGGTTATTCTCTTAAAAATCGAGGATAGGGCATCTCTGTGGGGCATTTTGAAAGTGTGTTCATCTCATCACCATGATGCAGAATTCCTGGGTGTCCTAATTAACATGCATGAGTATTACCCTGCACTCCACACCTGTCACTTGGTGCCACTTCCTGCTCTGAGCAATCTGAACAAAGCACGACCCTGTTACCTTTATGGTTTAACCACAGCTCCGTCTTTCTCTCTTTTCTCATTCAGAAACCTTATGCTTGTCAAATTCCAGGATGTACAAAACGCTACACAGATCCAAGCTCCCTAAGAAAGCATGTGAAGGCGCATTCTTCCAAAGAGCAACAAGCAAGGAAAAAGGTAAAATTCAAAGAGAGTTTCCCAGTCAGGAAAAGTGTGTTTGAGTTACTCTTGCAGTCATAGTCATAGAGTTTTTGCAAGGCATTAGGGCCTTCGACTTTGAAGATGTCCTATGCTTGATAATGAGGAGGACATCTTCCCCAAGGTCTCAGCAAGGCTGTAGTTGACACAGATAATACAGTCATGTAAAAATTTCTGAGGAAGCTTGCAGAGAAAATTAATGCCAGCCACCTACCGCAGGAAATGTTAATAACCAAAAGCTTTTATGAAAATTTCTGTAAACTCTTTCTGGAGAAATACTTTTTTTAAAAAAAACTATCAGCTCAAGTAATTTCCACTCCAATTAAGAACTTGGGTGACTCTAGTATTTGAAGAGAGCATTCCCCATATTTGGCTTGAGGAAAGCTGGTTGATAGGCACTATGTATGAAGTTCGGGTGGAGGGGACAAAATACTGAACTTAAATTGACTTTGACATCAGTGAGGGATTAATGCGGATTTCAAAATCTACGGATGTTGCAGTGTTACAGATTTGGTATAAATGTTCAAGGTCATCCAGCTAGTGTGTGCTCATTGGTTTATGATTGTCACACAATACTGTGACTGACTGGTCTTCCAAACCTTCTGAGAAAGGCAATTTACTATCTGTCAAGTTGTTTCATAACTGATTTTTGTGGGCTGTGTGGTAGGCGTGGGCTCATAGACATATTCGCGTGTAGGTGGGTGCACATATATGCACAGCTCTGTGTAGAGGCCAGAAGTCAGCCTTGGGTATTGTTCCTCAGGAGCTCTTCACTTTGCTTTTATGTCCACCTCTCAAGTAGTGAATGCACACGCCACCACACGCATGCACATGTCACCACAGATTATTATCAGTACATATGCACATGCCGTCACAGGTGACTTATCAGTACACGTGCACATGCCACCACACGCATGCACATGACACCACAGATTACTATCAGTACATATGCACATGCCATGCCGTCACAGGTGACTTATCAGTACACATGCACATGCCACCACATGCATGCACATGACACCACAGGTGGTTTATTACTCAGACTGAACTCTGGTCCTTATGTTCTCGTGTGAGCACTTCACCCACCAAGCTCTATCTGACACCCAAGCTTTTAAGTGTTTGAACAAACTGGATCTTCTGTCCATGACAGACACATGTTGCACTAACTTGGCTCTTTTAGTGCTACATTTGTGTTGAGTTGGTTACCTGATTGACTTAAGGAGACTTTATAACAAATTTAAGGACACATTAAGATTTATTTCAAGTAAATGAACCCTATGGTCAGGGTTTTCTGGTCACTGTGGCTTCTAATCAAAATTGTGCATTTTTCATAGCTTTTGGAGACTTTATATTTGGTATTGGGAAATCTTCTATAGTTTTTTGATACTGCATTTTTGTTTTGTCTTGAGGTGCTAGGCTTGAGTGCCAGTTGAGGGCTTATATACCGAAAGTACTTAACAAAGTCTTCATTTGGAGAAAGAAAAACACTCATCTACAAGGATTTAACAGATACACTTAACTACTTACAAAACAAATCTTGTAAATCAATTGTATGTTTTTTTCTCTAGAGATATATTTAAATCTCTTTATTTTAGAATACCAATAAATTGTTATCCAGAATCACTTGGCATGGTTTGGATATGACTTGAAGTTAGAAAAGCAAAGAAATTTTCGTTAATGTAAATAAACTTGGAAGAACAATGCTTCCTCTTAAAATAACACAAAGACCACAATTGGATCCTTTAGCAGGATCATTGTCTGTTGGCTTTGTCATGGTCTGTATCTTATACATTCAAAGGAATAAATTATATTCATTTTGCAAAAGCCCAGTCTTCTAGATGAGAGATGATTTCCATTCTAGACGATTTTCTACCTACAAGTTGTCCCTAATAAGTAAGACTATCAGTAAGATGAAAACACTGTCACAGAGCCTACTGCCATGGCAGGAAAGAGTATTAATCCCCTGTGGAAACAACAGTAATGATGCTCACAGGTGTGGGAACACACCGAACATTTTTAGAGATGGTTAATGGCTTTCATTGTATAAAAATGGCGTGTTTTGGCCTCATATAAAGGAAGAGTAGTTTTGATTGTGTGAGCATTAATTAAAAAAAAAGACCTTGAGACTATAAGATAGATTGTATTTACAGTTCCCTTGCAACCTTCAGCACGCAGTCTAGGTAACAAAGGTAGAACTTTCCAGCGGCCTGGTAATCTCATGTCAGACACTGCAGCTCTTCCTTAAGTCTGATTTATGCAAAGTGAAGTGGTCCCTCTCTCACGTGCCCACCGGTGTGCAAACGGTTGAATCAGACTTTGTTGACTTTCCTTGTTCAGCCCTCAGTGACAAATTTACAGTGTTTACTTTCCAAAAAGTCATTTCTAAATCTGCAATGGTTAATTCATGAAATTAAAATGATGAAAGTTGCTTCCTCCAACAAAAGAGGCAGTGTCATTCCCAAGAGAAGCAGCTGCTGATAAACCTAAAATCAGTCTGTCCACGCTGCGAAATCTCAAGCCGATATCCCGGTGTGTTATATTTACACGGTACAATGTTGTCACTAGACCTTAGAGAGCTTCTAATTGCTCACTCATGTCAAGACTTGGTATTTGAAATATTTCCTGGCCTCAATAGTAAAAAAAGAAAGAAACAATAAACCTTTTAGGGCAGAATTAAGATTATTTACGACTTTAATTAAAAATTGAAAACTGGCATGATTTCAAAAAGGGCTTTACAAAAATGTGAATTCATCAAAAATAACCATAAAAATTCCAAGGTGATAAAGGCACAGTGGAGAAATGGGCTCAGCCGTAGGGAATTGTTTTGTTGAAAAGAGTAAAACTCTTTTCTGTCACACCCTGTTAGTCATGGACTTGTTTAATATCCCCTGCCTGCCTGCCTCCCTCTAATCCTCTTCTTAACCTCCCCCTAGACACTAAATGACATTAGTTTGGTCTTAATGTAGCCAGCTTTATGAGGCCCAACCCTGAAATTGTAGGCAGTAACAAAGCCCCCATAAGATAATGTATATCAGGGGGGCAAGCCGCTGTTGAGTGGTGCCCTGACCATGAGGATACTGCCCTTTGTATCACATGATACGTACCACTAAAACTAAGATGGACCTGCAGTCTCAGCCAAACAGTATTCGAGCTGTATAAAGAAAATGAAAAGAACAGGGAGAGTTTGGATTGTTGCACTCAGAGAGAAGTTTTTGTGTTTGCATAAGTCACACACACACACACACACACACACTCACACACACACACACACATCTTCTCAGCCAAAAGACATCCAGCCTTGTTCATCAAATGTTTGTTGCACACTGATAGAGCAAGTAAGAAAGTATTCAAGCCACCAGTATAGTCTCCGCTGAGAATAGAATTTAGCCTCCAGAGCAAAAGGCACAGAATCTGTCCTTCAGTTCTTCTCATGTATGGGTGAATGAAGAGAAGACTAAGACAGTAGGCCACTTGAAATTCTTCTCAAGGCTGTGAGTTTTATCAGAATTTTTCATTTTCACCTTGGAAGTGCCATGAACTGGGGTTTCCTTCAACTCCAGCTTGTTGTCAAATGGACTTTTTAAAAAATGAATATAAGCAATGCCTGGCCAAAAGTTAGAGGTGACATGAATCTTTCTCCGTTCTGTACTTTCTTAAAGATTCTGAATTTTGTATGAGTCGCTAAATGTTTGTTAGACATTGACCCTTGATTGCTTGAATATCATTGATATTCACTTTTGGGACCTTGACACAAGCTGCTGCAATTAAAAATGTTTATATTGCATTCTTAGAGGCAATTTTTATGGCTTTCTGGCTATGTGAGGGCAGTTAACTTAATGTGGGTTTCTTCAAGTGAAACTGGTGATTCTTCAGACTGTTTGAAGCCACCACCTTTCCCCCAAATCACCTCGAACTATATACTTCATTAAGGAACCCAAAGGTTCACCTTGCAGTATGTAGTTCTTGAAACAATGACAAGATAGCTGGAAAAATACTTTCTTTTAAATTGGTGTATCCAGAAATTAATTGTTTTGTGCTTTGGTCTAGTTTTATTTTGGCAGGTGGGGTATGTGTTTAAGTGCCTCTCCAGATTTACAGTTGCCTTTCACTATCTCTCCCTTGTTCCTCTATGGGAATCAGTTAAAATCACTGATAGAGGACTAGGAATAGGCCTGCCCCACAGTTGTGACCATGGGATAAGGGAACCCAACTCTCCATTCACACTTTAGTAACACTACCTCGGTGGGCGGGTGTGAGGATGATTCTTCTGTTATGGGGATGATACTCAAGGAGTGCAAAGTTGTCTTTTTTAACAGCTCTCAGACATCTTTACATCATTGCACTGGTGATAAATGACTGACATCACAACTCAGAACGGTGGTGGGACACATGTGGATCCCCATAACCCTCAGCTGAGAGGAACTTAATTTCAAGAAAGTTTCTGGGAGATGCTCTTGGAAGAAATACTTTTGGTGAACAAAAAAAAACCCAAAAAACTAGTGATGAAAATAAATGATTATATTTTAATGAAAAACATCCTTGCAAATCATCACAAATTCAACCATATATTGATAATGATTGCTACTTGGAACTGGCTTCTATGATAACTTGGCCCAGTGTAATACCACCTTTATTTTTGAAGTGGGTTGATGCTACTTGTTGATAGGGGCTGTTTAGAAGAATTCACACTTGTAGGAGTTGAAAAAGGACTTGAAGGTTGTCAGTGAGAATGACCAGTGAATGAAATAGACATGTGGTATTTTTGGTTTTTATTTTTTATGTTCAGAGTGGCTGCATTCATCTTTACAGGAAAATACAGTCACTGTCTCTGGGATGATGGCCCAAGGTCTTAACTGTGATGAAAGCTGTGGCCCATTCACTGATCTTGGAACAATTTCCATGGGGTGTTATTAGATAGGTTTTCTTTGTTTTGTATTGTTTTTGTTTCTAGGTTTATGTTAGTTTGAGGGTGTGAGTGC